CGGGCTTTCGGGCTAGGGTTTAGGGTTTAGGGTTTAGGGTTTAGGGTTTAGGGTTTAGGGTTTAGGGGTTTAGGGTTTAGGGGTTTAGGGTTTAGGGATTAGGGTTTAGGGGGGTTTAGGGATTAGGGTTTAGGGGGCTTAGGGTTTAGGGATTAGGGTTTAGGGCCTTGGGGGGGTTTAGGGTAGAGGGTTTAGGGGGTTTAGGGGGTTTAGGGTTTAGGGATTAGGGTTTAGGGGGGTTTAGGGTTTAGGGTTTCGGGGGACTTCCTCGACGTATAAGTACCATAGCCTCAGCTAGGATCCCTTTAGCGTACTCATAAGTCTACTGATTACCTACTTACTAAGTCCCCTGATTCTTCAAGTAAACCTCAAGGCTTGACGTTTAGAGTTGAGGATCCTAGGAGCTGGGGGGCGAGGGGCAGCTGGCAAAAGCCTTGGGGCATGCAGGCATGCATGCCATCCTTAGGCGTTAGGCTTTAGGGCTTACGGTTTGGGGGTTGGCTTTAGGCTTTCGGGCTCACGGTTTTGGAGATTAGGGTTTAGGGCTTTTCGACTATCCTGCGCTTCTTGGAGAACGGTGTCCTGAGGCCTTATCAGATTATCAAGGCGTCATCATGCTTGATCCGGGGCCCTTGGGCCCTCCAACCACCCCAGTCAACTCCGAAAGACCCGGCAAGTCTTCTTGCTTGTGGGTAGTGGGTTATGGCTCAGGGGTTGTGGATTTGCTTGTCTTGTTCACTTCTTCACTGCTCTTGATGGCTCGGCCTTCAGTCATCCGGCTACAAGCTGGTCCCTGCACGAAAGCCATGAAGGGGTTTTACCTTTGTCGTACACGTTGCGTAACTAATCTTCTCCTCGCCACCCAGACCTCACAATCCTTCTTCACCCTAAGCCCTAAACTCTAAACCTTAAACCATACACACTAACTCCCACAAAAGCCTGGGTTTGCGACGTGGAGGCACACTGCGGAAGCTCTTCCAGCGAGTTCACGTCTTCAGCCCGGAAGGTGGGAGAGAGTGGCCCCTTAATAATTACCTACACTACTTTGGGGGTTCCTTATGATAATTAGATAATAATGGACCCCAAAACCCCACTCTAACTATTTTACGTTCTTCGGACTCGCTCGCGAGCGGCTTTTGGGATAGGAGTTCCTCAGAAAAGGCCCTAGACTCGAACACACAGCCCCAATCTCAGCGCTTGCCTGGGAGCATCTTCTTGATGAGGGTCTTCGAGCTTTCTCGCCGATTCGGAGAGCATTGTGGTGTAGGGCCTGAGGTTTGGGGTTCAGGTTTTAGATTTTGTGGGGTAGTGTGTGGCGTGTAGAGGCGTGGTTTGCTTTGATTTTCGTAGAGTCCTCTGACATCAGCAGGTTCGTGCAAGCGGTGCCATCTGAGTTACACCGCACCAAGCCACGAACCCGTCTTCCATTCCTCGGCCTTCCTGAAGATGTGCCCTAAACCCAAAACCCTAAACCCCAAAATAGCCCCCAAGCCTTTGTCGGGTTCTCATGGAACTTCAAAGCTCTGGAAACACAGGAATCTCGAACCGGTGCTCTGGAAACCCCCTGCAGTCTAAATCCCCGACCCGTACGCTCGAAACCGAAAACCCTGTAAACCCTGAAATCGCAAGTAACAACGCCAACAGAAACGGCAACAATAATAGTGATAATACCAAGAATAACACTACTAATATCCATCGAAATAATTACAGCCAAAAGTAAGCAGGAATCATAACAAGAGGAACAAGAAGAAGGTGCGAAGACCTGGGATGTGTACATTCTGGCCTCCGGCTTCGTCCGCGACCGTGCGGATTCGAAGGTTCCGGGCATAGGCCATCGGGCGGGCTGTTGAAGTTCGGAGCTTCTCTGTCCCGAGGCTTCCGAGGTTGGGTGAAGCACGATAAATGTATATACGATAAAGGCAATATACCACAATTTACTATAACATACTATATACTATAACATACGGGAACATACTATATAATATACTAGAATATACTATATTGGGCCCTCGCTCCGAACACAGAGGTTTCGGAGCCTCAGAGCTCGGGAGCTGGCTTGACGTCAGGGTTCCTAGAGTATCGTATAGTATCTTGTAGTTTAGGGCCAAGGGTTTAGGTATCCTGTAGTCTAACATAGTATATTACAGTTTGATATCGTATCTTTTTCGTATGTTGAACACCTGCACAGAGAGGTAGGAGATTAGTCTTGGATCTTTCCCGATCGTTGATAAGCTCTTGCACCTGGCGGAAGGACCGGGTGTGGAGTCGTTCTGCAACTGTCGATGCACAGAATCGGCTCTAACGATCGTGATCCAAACCCTAAAACCTAAACCCTAAACCCTGAACCCTAAACCCTGAACCCAAAAGCTTAAGCCCTCAATCCTAGACCCCAAGCCGAAGAGACTTCACCATAGGTGGCCTGGAGCTTCGAAGCTTCTTCGACAGTACCTGGAGGTGGGCGTGAAAGAAGCTAGGGTTTAGGGCTTTAGGCTTTAGGCTTTAGGCTTTAGGGTTTAGTGTTTAGGGTTCAGGGTGTAGGGTTTAGGGTTCAGGGTTTAGGGTTTAGGGTTTAGGGTTTAGGGCTTGGGGTGTAGGAAGCTCGAAGCCAGGGCTTGGTATTGCCGGGTAGAGTAAGAAAGGGCGCGGTTTACGGTTCAGCTGAACATCAGGTTTGGTTGTCTGTTTTGTTTTCTTGCCAACATTGGGCACGTCGTGTCTGATGTCTGCTGCATCTTGAGTGGTTTAGAGTGTGCGGGTGGGCAGATAGACAAAAAGGAGGTCGGTGGGCAATTGGCCTGTGAAGGCAAGTCCAGGTCGAGAGGTTACGCTGTTTCGGCTTGGTTCACTTATCCATGAATAGAATGACCACAGCCACTCATCATTCCATTCGCACGGTTGGGACTGCATCTTGTAGATGGTCATCTGGCTCTGATAGCAGGGATGCATGTGGGTAGTTCTCTAAATTAGGGTCCCTTTTTGGGTCCCCAATATAGTACGGCACCCTTATAATATGGACCCTAAAAGGGACCCTAACTTAGAAAATCTAGAAAACCACCCATGTTGTGGCCTGTCGTGAGCTCACCCTTCCGCTCGATGGCCAGGCTGGATGCCTTGGATGACGTTTTGCTGTGGACCTTGCCCCCGGATCAGGAGGATGAGGAGACCTCGGTGGGCATCACAGGCCCTTCAACTAGAGTATAATTTCGCTGTTATATGATTCGAGGTTATATAATATGAATATATTCTACTATGACCCCATGACTCCCATACCCTCAGAGTCTTCTGGCGCCTAGAAATTGAAATTCAGCAGGAGTGGCACCGTGTCTGTGTGGCGTTACCCGGTTGCCAAATCCCACTACTATGCTACATGCTACACGGTCATGGTGCAGCAAGTTTTATGCTATGCTATGCGATGCTATGCTATGCTAAACTGTTCTAGCTTATTCTGTTCTGTTCTGTTCTACTCTGTTCTACATGTTATGTCATATTACGTTCCATTATGTTTTATTATGTCATATTATATTGTATTGTATTGCATTGCATCGTAGTGTTTTATCTCCGTTCCGCTACATGTGTGGTATGCCTGGCAGGTAAGGGCATCGTGGCTGCGTATACACTGCTTTGGAAGACCTGGGCGGGGCCACTCGCTTCAATTTTTTGTCTTATAGGAGCCTTACAAACTTAATAGCACCATTTTGGGGTTCATCATTATGATTATGGGAAAATATACCCTATAGCCCTATTCTAGTTATTGAGGCCCTTATAGTACGTTTCTTGCGAGAGCCGTGGGACCTCACTTCTGGGTTCTGGCAGCAAAGACATTTAAGCACAGATGGTATAGCCTACATTTTGCGCATTACGAGCTGCACAAAGCTACTATTCAACACTGCAGCATCATGCACCACACTATAACTTACAAGTAGCATGGCAGTGTCCCGCGGCTTCACGGCCCAGGCTACAGAATCTTGAGGTTTAGGGTTTAGGGTTTAGGGTTTAGGGTTCCACTGAAACAGAAGCCCTAGCCGAAATGTCGAAGAAGCCCTAGCCTGGCTTAGGGTTCTGTTGGCTCGGGGAGTTGTGGGAGGTCCTGTCAAGAGCTCCCCTGCGGCTTTTGGGTTTAGGGGTTTAGGGGTGTAGGGTTTAGGGTTTAGGGGTTCAGGGTTTAGGGGTTTAGGGGGTTTGGTGTACTACAGTCCTGCTTGTTGCTGACGAAGATTTGCTCATCACCGACACTCATTGCCATGTTTTGCTCATTGTTCGGGGTGTGTACCGGTAACCCTCAGCCTCTGCGGGTGACTTCGAAAAGCTCGTGACAATGAGCAAAGCTTCGCGGGCAATGCGCAACAACACGTAGAAAAGCGGCAAACCCTGTTGAGCCCTAAACCCTAAACCCTAAACCCTGTTGAGCCCTGAGAGTGCGAGCATTTTGGGAGTTCTGTTGGGACAGCTGTCTTGAGACAACCCCAAAGGGAATGGGCCCTGGAACAGTACACCGAAGAGGGTACAGCATGTGCAGATACTTGTGTAACTATAACTGCATGCGGCTGGGTTTTGCTGCATCTTGTGACAAAGCTGCTTAGCGTGTGAAGCCTTAGCCGAATCGTGAGCTTGAAGGCTGAACCCTGAGTTCCCATACCCCAAATCCCAAGTCCCAAAGCCTGAATCTCATTTCCCAAACCCTAAACCCCAAAACAGTAAACCCTAAACCCTAAAGCTCAAGACCTCCCACCCCGACCCGCAAAGGAAGCTCAGCTCCTTGGCGTTGGATCTCGGCATGCTCCTATCACAGGCCCGGGTGCAGCAGGGCTCTTTGAGGGTTTGCGGTTTAGGGTTTAGAGNNTAGAGTTTAGGGTTTAGGGTTCAGCTACGAAAACAGTCGTTGTTCTTCTGGCTGCGGCTGAAGATCATGCTTGATGAGAATACTAACCAGTGGGAAGGAAGGTCTTGGATGCCTGAACCCTTAATCCTAAACCCGTAAACCCTAAGCC